CTGATGGACATGGTGGAGGCAGGAATGGAGGCAGGCAGGCTGAACTAGGCGGAGATTCAAGAAGGAGCAGAGAAGCTGCTTCTTGGTGTGAACAATTTTTTTAAAAAGAACAGCCAGGGAAGGCTGGACACTTCCCCTACCTTAGGAGCCCATGAATGTGTCCAGGGATCGGCATTCACAGGCTCGCAGCACCCTCAGGAGATGGCTCTGGGAAAACAGCCTAGGCTTCAGTCTAGGCTCCTTAGAACCAAGGACAGTTAAAACCAGCCAAGCTGGAGCCAGAGATGTAGGAAATTAAAATATCTCTGAAAAATTCTGTGTAAACAGCAGAGCGTCAGTCACTCAGGGAAAGAAGGAATCCTTCAGACAGCTCAACTTTCTCCTCCAAGCACTGAATTGGCACCTTTACTCTAACACTCGCTACTTTCTCATAGACAATCTGGTGGCTTGCTGGCCAGATTTCTGCCTTCTCTGAAAAAAGCAGGAAGATCTAGCAACAATGGGCTCACAAGCCCATGTGGAGACATGACCAGAGGTGAGCAGTGGCTGCCTCTTGAGATGGACTATGTGTCACTAGTTTGCCACAGACCACACCACTCCCTATCGCTGCATTCAGGCCATTTCACCAATCTACCTGCCTTGTATTTAAGTTTGTGACCCCTTTTAATTACAAGTTTTTTATATGTCTGTCTCCATGCCTTAGGCCCTTCTAACACCTTGTATGGTATCTAATAAATAACTCTAACACCTTGTATGGTATCTAATAAATAAGTTTTAGAATAAAAGTAATTTCTAATAGCCTAACAAAAGCTAGAGTATGGGTACTTAGATCTCGACCTTTGAAGCAAAGAAATGGTATTTTTAAAGTAGGTAAAGGATAGAAGATGTCTGCAAAGTTATCAGTATTAGACAAATAGATTTTCACTGATCATTTGCTTTTTTTTTTTTTTTTTTTTTTTTTTTGAGACGGAGTCTCGCTCTGTCGCCCAGGCTGGAGTGCAGTGGCCGGGAGTCTCGCTCTGTCGCCCAGGCTGGAGTGCAGTGGCCGGATCTCAGTTCACTGCAAGTTCCGCCTCCCGGGTTTACGCCATTCTCCTGCCTCAGCCTCCCGAGTCACTGGGACTACAGGCGCCCGCCACCTTGCCCGGCTAGTTTTTTGTATTTTTTTAGTAGAGACGGGGTTTCACCGTGTTAGCCAGGATGGTCTCGATCTCCTGACCTCGTGATCCGCCCGTCTCGGCCTCCCAAAGTGCTGGGATTACAGGCTTGAGCCACCGCGCCCGGCCCCTTTTTTTTTTTTGATGTGGAGTTTTGCTCTTGTTGCCCAGGCTGGAGTGCAATGGCGCTCTATCTTGGCTCACTGCAACCTCTGCCTCCTGGGTTCAAGTGATTCTCCTGCCTCAGCCTCCCAAGTAACTGGGATTATAGGCATGTGCCACTATGCCCAGCTAATTTTGTATTTTTAGTAAAGACGGGGTTTCTCCGTGTTGTTCAGGCTGGTCTCAAACTCCTGACCTCAGGTGATCCACCCGCCTCGGCCTCCCAAAGTGCTGGGATTACAGGCATGAGCCACTGCGCCCGGCCCTGTTCATTTGTTCACTTCTAATTACTCATGGTGTCCAACAACTGCTTCAACTGAATTTAAAGGAGTGCCTGACTCTTCAGCTAAATTACTGGGTCAGCTGGAGGTTTTGCACCATTATGGTCACAAGACATACTCATAGTTGCTCAGATGGGTGGGGGTGAGGGGATGAGGGCAGCTGTGGTTGTCTCCCTCCTGTCCCATCCACTTTGGTATGCCACTCACAGCTGAATAAAAGAGGCTCCAGACATACCTTATCAATATTAATTACCTACAGTGGGTCAAGAGATGAAGTTATCTGGTAATTACCTCTTTGCTGATAAACAACTTAAGGCAGATCCACTTAATTTTAAAGCAGAACTTCTCATAAAGTCATTAAGTGTGATCCTGGTAACCTTGGTGGTATACAGTCATGGAATGACCAGGCACATGACATTATTTACAGTAAGTCTTTCCTATTCTTATTACTTGACATAAGTTCCCAGTTCTTAAGTTCAAGCATAAGATTTTTGGAGAAAACAGAACTAAGTTCACTCAATTAAAAAAATGGGCTGGGCATGGTGGCTCACGTCTGTAATAACCCCAGCACTTTGGGAGGCCGAGGTGAGTGGATCATCTGAGGCAAGGAGTTTGAGACCAGCCTGACCAACATAGTGAAACCCCGCCTCTGCTAAAAATACGAAATTGGCTAGGTGTGGTGGCATATGCCTGTAACCCCAGCTACTTGGGAGGCTAAGGCAGGCGAATCACTTGAACCAAGGAGGCAGAGGTTGCAGTGAACTGAGATCACATCATTGTATTCCAGCCTGGGCAACAAGAGTGAAACTCCATCTAAAATAATAATAATAATAATAATACAAATTAAAAAATGGGCAAGAACTGGGTGTGGTAGTACCTGTAGTCCCAGCATGCAACTTGGGAGGCTGATGCAGGAGAATCGTTTGAGCCCGGGAGTTTTGAGACCAGCTAGGGCAACATAGCAACGCCCCATCTCAAAAAAACGGGCAAAAGAATGTGAATAGATACTTCACTAAAGAAGATATCCAAATGACCAATAAGTATATGACAAAGAGCCCTAATAATTACTCAATGAGAAAATGCTAATTAAATCCACAGTAAAATGCCACATCACACACGTTAGTGAGGGTGTGAAGCAAATGGAACGCTGAAACATCGCTAGGGGAGTGTCAAATGATTCCATCACTTTGGAAACCTTACAGTATGCACTGAAGTTAAAGACATCTCTCCAATGATCCAGCAATTCCACTGCTAGGTATACATCCAGGAGAAATGAGCGCATACATTCACCAAAAGACATAAATGTTTGTAGCAGTTTTATTCATAATAGCCTCAATCTGGAAATAACCAAATGTCCAACAAATGTAAAACAAATAAACAGAAGGCAGTATTATAGTCATATTATGGAATATTACACACTAATAAGAAAGAAACAGCAACAAAGATAAACCTCAAAGACATTATGTTGAATGAAAGGAGTCAGACATGGGAGAGTTTATATACTATGTGATTCCATTTATATGAAACTCAAGAATAGGTAAAACTGGCTGGGCATGGTGGCTAACACCTGTAATCCCAGCACTTTGGGAGGCCAAGGCAGGCGGATCACCTGAGGTCGGGAGTTCGAGACAAGTCTGGCCAACATGGCCAAATCTCGTCTCTACTAAAAATACAAAAAATTAGCCAGGCATGGTAGCAGGCAGGCACCTGTAGTCCCAGACACTCTGGAGGCTGAGGCATGTGAATCACTTGAACCTGGGAAGCAGAGGTTGCTTGCAGTGAGCCGAGATTGTACCACTGCACTTCAGCCTAGGTGACAGAGCAAGACTCCACCTCAAAAAAAAAAAAAAAAAAAAAAAGGTAAAACGGATCAATTATCAAATAAATCAGTATAATGGTTATTTTTTAAAAATTAATTAATTAATTTAAGAAAGGACTTCACCCTGTCACCCAGGCTGGAGTGCACTGGCATGATCATGGCTCATTGCAGCCTAGACTTCCTGGGCTCGTGATCCTCTCACCTCAGCCTCCTGAGTAGCTAGGACAACAGGCACATGCCACCATGCCTGGCTAATTTTTGTATTTCTGTTAGAGACAGGGTTTCGCTATGTTTCCCAGGCTGGTCTCAAACTCCTGATCTCAAGCCATCCACCTGCCTCAGCTGCCTAAAGTGCTAGGATTACAGGTGTGAGCCACTGCGCCTAAGCCAGGATGGTGGGTATCAAGCAGGGAAGGAGACACTGACTGGCAAGGGCATTGGGGAACTTTCTGGGGCACTGGGAGTGTTCTACATCTTTACCTGGATATTGGTTACATGGTTCTATACATGATGTAAACATTCATTGAGATGTACACTGAAGAGGTGTGCACTTTACTCCACATAAATTCTTCCTCAGTGAAAACACATATATAATTAGAAAGTAAAAATAAAGGCCAGGTGCAGTGGCTCACGCCTGTAGTCCCAGCATTTTGGGAGACTGAGGTGAGCAGATCGTTTGACTCGAGGAGTCTGAAACCAGCCTGGACAACATGGCAAAACTCCACTGCTACAAAAAAATGTCAAAAATTGCCGGGCGCAGTGGCTCATACCTGTAATCCCAGCACTTTGGGAGGCCGAGGCAGGTGGATCACAAGGTCAGGAGATCGGGACCATCCTGGCTAACACGGTGAAACCCCATCTCTACTAAAAATACAAAAAATTAGCCAGGTGTGGTGGCAGGCGCCTGTAGTCCCAGCTGCTGGGGAGGCTGAGGCAGAAGAATGGCATGAACCTGGGAGGCAGAGCTTGCAGTGAGCCGAGATTGCACCACTGCACTCCAGCCCGGGTGACAGAGCGAGACTCCGTCTCAAAAAAAAAGTAAAAAATTAGGGCATGATGGCAGCGCACCTGCAGTTCAAGCTACTCAGGAAACTGAGATGGGAGAATCGCTTGCGCCAGGAGGCGGAAGTTGCAGTGAGCCAAGATTGAGCCACTGTACTCCAGCCTGGGCGACAGAGCAGGACCCTGTCTCAAAAAAATAATTAAAAATAAAGTAAAAATAAAAATATAACCTCAGTTAACCAATTCCAACTTGAGATCATCTGGCCCCATGCCCTTTTCCAGCCTACATCCTAATCTACTCTATTGGCATCAAGTGTTTTCATGGTCCAGCCTGCTGGCAGCCTGGTGGCTAGCTTCTGGGTACCACATACTACATGCTTGATCATCCCATTTTACAGATGAGAAAACATGCTCCGAGAGGTGAGGTAACATACCCAAGGACATATAACTGGTCTTAACACAGGCCACTGACTCCAGAGTATAATTTCTTAACCCCTACCCTATGCCTTGCCCCACAAGGAATCTGTAAATGTTTGTTGAATGAATGAATGATCAATATAATAAGAGCCATATCCTTACCTCTTTGGCTTCATTTTGTGCTTTCATATTTTCAGCAATATACTTGACACTTTGGATGGCTTCTTTGATTTCTGGTGACAAAGCAGAGAGGGACAGCACAGCATCAACAGATTCAGAACTAGAGCTTCTCGTGAGGTTAGCACTGAAATTGGAGATTTTTATCCTGCGGTGGTGGCAGTAACCACACATCCTGTCCTGGCAGGGGTAGCCCTCCTTGCAGCCTTTGGACTCTGCATGGCTGAAGCAATTCAGATTTGAGAGCTCGGCACCAGAGAGGGGCCTCGGCTTCTGAGCGCTGCCCTCATTGCTTGTTGGCCTGGTCATGAACATGACCCTGGGGAGCAGGTTCAAGAATACGGTCTTCACCCATGAGGGCATTGTGTGTGTAGTTGGGGTTCTGTAGTGCACGTTGAGCACGAAGACAGTGATGACGATGGACAGGGTTACGAAAATCATGGTGAACAGGAGGTACTCTCCAATCAGGGGGATGACTAGCGAGGTGGAAGGGATGGTCTCAGTGATCACCAGGAGAAACACTGTCAGGGAAAGGAGGACGGAAATGCACAGGGTCACCTTCTCACCGCAGTCAGAGGGCAGGTAGAAGACGAGCACAGTGAGGAAGGAGATGAGCAGGCAGGGGATGATGAGGTTGATGGTGTAGAATAAGGGCAGGCGCCGGATGTACAGCGAGTATGTGATGTCGGGGTAGATCTCCTCGCAGCAGTTGTACTTGATGTCATGTTTGTAGCCTGGGGCTTTGATGATGGCCCACTCACCGCTCTCCCAGTAGTCCTTGAGGTTCATGGAGGAGCCGATCAGGACCAGATCGATTTTTGCCTTGTCGTAGGACCAGGAACCGAACTTCATGGTGCAGTTTTGGTAATCAAACGGGAAGTAGGTAACATCAATTTTGCAAGAGCTCTTAAAGATGGCAGGAGGTATCCAAGTCACCTCCCCAGTGTACTTGAGTAAGGCTTTGGTCTTGTCATCCACCTGGAAATCCCCAACAGCACTGCAAAGACAGATGGGGGGCACAGTAACACATGGTCATTAACACTGGGTCATATAGTGGTCATCTCGACCAGCTTCTCACAGTAATGATTTGGAAGGCAGCGGAAGATGAGAGCTGAAAGTGCCATAAAGTCACCTGATTCCCAGCCCCATTTACCAACGGGGATTCTGAGGCCCAAAATCCCTCCCCAACAACAATCTGAGATGTTGAACACGCCCCAGGGCATGCCACCAGTTCATCCCACAACACAGGTCCCAAACTGATAGACTCCCAAATGCCTGGATTGTTCCCCCTTTAATTAAAGAAATGGGAGGAAGGTCATCTTCCTGGAGCCAGGTGCTGAAGCAGCCTTTGGGATTATTTGCCACCCAGGGTCCCTGAGGCTTGGCCCTCTCATTCAGTCTGCACTGGGAGCCTAATGTGTGTGTGAAACCTGACTGTGGAGCTGGAAGGGGCTGCACAGACCACACAGGGGAGTCCACCCCCATTAAACAGAACCTCATCAGATGGGTTTATTTCCAAACCCTATCTCTGGATCCTGATTTGACCATTCCCTGTACCCTCCCCACCCCCATTCTTCCCAGTACTGTTTTATAATAATCATGTTTTTGCTTCCTTGTCTTTTGAATTCAGCATAACAGATTTCTTCACTTTCTGTGTCCCTGTCTCCATTTTCTCCCCATGTTTCTTCTCCCTTCCTTTTCACTATGTACATCCTGACTTTATTTTCACACAGAAATATGTTTTTCTTCTCTTTTCTTTTTGAGCAGGCTAGCATGCAGTAGCTCACTACAATCTCTGTCTCCCAGGGTTCAAGTGAGTCTCCTGCCTCAGCCTCCTGAGTAGCTGGAATTACAGGCATGTTGCACAATGCCTGGCTACTTTTTGTATTTTTAGTAGGGATGGAGTTTTGCCATGTTGGCTGGGCTGGTCTCAAACTCCTGACCTCAAGTGATCCACCCACCTCAGCCTCCCAAAGTGCTCAGAATACAGGCCTGAGCCACTGCCCGGCCTTAGAAATGTACATTTTTCTAGGAATAGTCTTGTTGGTTTGCTCGACAGAAAATCAGCTGACGATCCCTGTTGAGTCTTGCATTGGGCATTCCATCCATGATGGCCAGATGGTCCATCTGAGAGCAAGGCCGGTTGCTTCCACAATGGGCCTGCCCAGGAAGGTTCTTAAAAATTCCTCAGATCAGCCCTGTTAAGTTTCTTAACCTTGTGAAGGCATTTACATGCTTCAAAGGGAGCAACCGCCACACTCCTTTGCCTTGTAAACAAAGAGCTGAAAAACCTAAACATCTAGCGATATCTTTGTGCTGCTGTAATTGGATGAGAACCTGTGAAAACAGAAGGGGAATGTTCTGGTGCGTGTCCTTCTTCCTTGCTAGTTTCTCCTGGGTCTCGGCTAAGGAGGATAATCATTACCCATGAAGGTTAAATGCCAAAGCCACTACCTGTCTTTCCTCTGGTTGGCTGGTTTGCCCCCAAAGGTGCCCTGCTGAGTTTATACATTCTTTGCCCCCACTTCACTCCCACCATGCCCTTAATTCCCTACAAGAGTATTCCTGCCTCTGGCTGCAGCAAAAAGGGAGAGGTAGGAGGGTGGGGGTGGAGGTGAATATCCACACAGTCTCCAAGTGGACTCAGCCCATGTTCAGCACTGAGGGGCCCTGGAGAGGGCTGGGCTAAGCAGAAGGTTGAAAAGACCCTTGGGAAGGAGAGGCCTCCTGAACCAATTCCTCGCAGAATCCTGGATCAACAAAATGTCAGAGCAGCAAGGAAGCTTCAGAGCCCAAGGTCTGGACCAGGGATTGGCAAGTTGCGGTCCTATTTCTGTAAATAAAATCTGGGGGGAATAGTGCCACTGCCTTTTGTGGTCTATTATCTGTGGCTACTTTTGAGTTCCAAGGGCAGAGATGAATAGCTGCGACCGTGACTGTACGTACGACCCACAACGCCTAAAATATTTATTCTCTGGCCCTTTAGAGAAAACATTCGCTAGCCCCTGCTCTAGTCCAAAGGCTTCATTTTGCTGATGAGAAAACTGAGGGTCAAAGGACAGGAATGATTTGCTGGAGACCCCAGAGAGTTCATGGCAGAGGTTAGCTGAGCTGGGCTGATGGCTCATTTCTGGGGATCCCTGGTCACTGCTGCTGCTGCCCATGGCACCCCTGGGGTGTGTCTGCCCAGATCAGAAGGACTGTGTGCTGCCTGGGGCAGTGTCAACAGTTATCTCTCTGCTAGGAGGAGACACAACATGCAGACCCAGCTGGAGACTGGGGTCTGGCACAGCACCAGCCTCATAAAGGGCACTCAGTAAATATTTGTTCACCTAACGAATGACCAAAAAATAAAGGAAAGCTGGGCGCGGTGGCTCATGCCTGTGATCCTAATACTTTGGGAGGCCGAGGTGGGCGGATCACCTGAGGTCAGGAGTTTTGAGACCAGCCTGGTCAACATGATGAAACCCCGTCTCTACTGAAAATACGAAAATTAGCTGGGTGTGGTGGCGCACACCTGTAATCCCAGCTACTCGAGAGGCTGAGGTAGAACTGCTTGAACCCAGGAGGTGGAAGTTGTAGTGAGCTGAGATGGCACCACTGCACTCCAGCCTGGATGACAGAGTGAGATTCTGTCTCAATCAATCAATCAAACAATCAATAAACATCACACCCAGAGATGGCTGGCAGCAAGGGACAGCAGAGGTGGGAGGGGTCTGAGCAACATACTGCCAAACCATGTGAGGCAATTAAAAAAGAAAAGGTAGTATGGGTGCAAATGATCAGCCAAGGTAGCACTATCATACAGATATTTTAGAACAGAAGTGGGGTGGGGTGGTGAGGGCTATGAGAACGATCATGATGGCATGGGTTTTTAAAATCTCTCTAAATTTCTTCAGAAAAATAGGGCAACTAGGATGACAGAAAAATAACAAACCTTCTGATCACATCGTCAACAAAGTTAGGTTACGCAGCACCTCAGGATATGAGAGTGTGGGGTCAGACCACCACCACCAGCAGGACCTGTGGGACCCCCATGCGATTAGCTGCTGGGTAGAGGCAGCCAGGGGAAAAGAAAGATGGGTTCTCATGTCCTAAGATCCTAAAAGTGCCAGACACAGAAATCTCCAAGAAGTGGCTGCCCCTCAAAAGACGAGGACGCCACTCTGCGCTGAATCCTCGGCAAGAGGAACAATGGAGCAGAGAGGGCTCCACAGGTTCCGATTTGTGGGCAAGAACAACAAAAAACCCCACGGGAACCCACTTGGGGTCTGCAGAGGTCAGTCGGCTGGCGTGGGCTCCTGAGGATGTCAGAAATGCCTCCCAAAACCTCCCTGCCAGAAGGACAGAGAACCACTCAGAGAAAAAGCAGCTTATGGTAGGATCCAAACTCAATGGGGTAAAAAGTGGGGTTGAGAAGAGAAAGAAGGTTCAGAAACTGAAGTCAGCATCCAGAGACAGCAGCTCATGGAGGTGCCATGACTGTGGCATGCGGTGTGGTGTCATGACATGTCATGGCTGTGGTGTCATGGCTGTGGAGACTGTGGAGGTGTCCATGCAGAGAGACAAGTGTTACCTCAAGGTAACCACCTGTTTTCTCCTATTCCCTCCAGCAACTTGCCCTAAAAGTACAGCAAGGCCATCTATTTAAACAAGAGCAACAGAGCCTTATGAAAACATACTGTAAGAAAAACACAAACTGGGTGCAGCAGCTCATGCCTATAATCCCAGCACTTTGGGAGGCTGAGGCAGGCGGATCACCTGAGGTCAGCAGTTTGAGACCAGCCTGGCCAACATGGTGAAACCCCATCTCTACCGAAAATATAAAAAAAAAATTTTAGCTGGGCGTGCTGGCAGTCGCCTGTAGTCCCAGCTACTCGGGAGGCTGAGGCAGAAGAATTGCTTGAATCCGGGAGGCAGAATTTGCAGTGAGCCAAGATCATGCCATTACACTCTGGCCTAGACAAGTAACTGAATTAACACATACGCAGATTAACGGCAACTACAAAAACAGAGTCACCAAGCAGATGAAGCTGATGATAATCTGATATTACAAATTAAGTGAAAAGAAACTAAGAAATTTTTAGAAACTGTGAAACAACAACAGAAATCAGAAAAGACAAGGGATAATTTGGTTAAACAGAATGTATAAAGAATTAGTAGAATTTAGGAAAGAATTAGGAAAAAGAAAAAAATCATTCTAGAAATAAAACCAGATGAGGCCAGGTGCCGTGGCTCATGCCTGTAATCCCAGCACTTTGGGAGACTGAGGCGGGCGGATCACGAGGTCAAGAGATTGAGATCAACCTGGCTAACATGGTGAAACCCCATCTCTATTAAAAATACAAAAAACAGGCGTGGTGGTGGGTGCCTGTAGTCCCAGCTACTTGAGAGGCTGAGGCAGGAGAATGGCGTGAACCTGGGAGGCAGAGCTTGCAGTGAGCTGAGATTGTGCCACTGCACTCCAGTCTGGGCGACAGAGTGAGACTCGGTCTCCAGAAAAAAAAAAAAAATATATATATATATATATATATGTGTGTGTGTGTGTGTGTGTGTATATTTAAATTTCACTTAATTTTGTGTATGTATATATAAATACATATATATACACACACACACACACACACACACAAAAATTAGCCGGATGTGGTGGCAGGCACCTCTAGTCCCAGCTACTTGGGAGGCTGACACAGGGGAATGGTGTGAACCTGGGAGGCGGAGCTTGCAGTGAGCCAAGATCGTGCCACTGCACTCCAGCCTGGGTGACAGAGCGAGACTCTGTCTCAAAAAACATAAATAAGTAAAACCAGAAGAAACATAAGAAAAAGCAGGCCAGGCATGGTGGCTCACACCTGTAACCCCAGCACTCTGGGAGGCTGAGGTGGGCGGATCACTTGAAGTCAGGAGTTTGAGACCAGCCTGGCCAACATGGTGAAACCCTGTCTCTACTAAAAATACAAAAAATTAGCTGGGCATAGTGGCACACACCTGTAATCCCAGCTACTCAGGAGGCTGAGGCAGAATAGCTGGAACCCAGGAGGCAGAGATTACAGTGAGCCGAGGCACTCCAGCCTGGCCAACACAGCAAGACTCTGTCTCAAAAAAAAAAAAAAAAAAGATTTTCATGGAAGGTAAAAAGGAGCCAATGATTTTACACCCAGCCAAGTTACCTAAAAGTATTCTCTAAAAAGGTTACAATGAATTATGAACTTGCCAGAACACAGAGTTACAGTGTCCATGAACACTTGGAGGATTCTATCAGGGAATGAACTTTAGAAAACAAAATATCATAGGTGAAATTTTGGTATATGAAAACACATGTTCCTACTGTGTTAAAAAATGAAGAGAAATCCTTAACAGAGGGTCAATCCTGAGCAATTGAAATTCTAACTAGGAGAAGAGAGAGAAAATGAGTTGGATGATTTTTTCTAAATGTTATTTTCAGCTTCAGATTTCAAGGAAATTCCTTATGATATTCGCTCCTCTCCACATCCAATTTGAAACATTTTGCTACGCCTCTCATTATTGCTAAAATCATACATCCTATAGTACTCCAGCTGTTCACTCAAGATTGCCAGCAAGAAAATGGTTATAAAACCCAAAACATAAAGATTAAACTTTCTGCTCATTTTCTTAATTCTAGCTTAGCAAAAATTCTCTACACCCTGCCCAGTTCCCTTAAGAGCATTTGAACTATGTGATTCCTATGACAACTCACAGTGAACAACAACAAAAAAAACCCTGCAAGCCTGTTAAGTTTATACTGTGTCCCAGTTCTTTGATGACCAGTTTACAAATACAAATTACATAGAAGAAACATTTATAAGTGCTATGTTTCCTTGGGAAAATAGTAAATAAAACATGGACTGTCTTTGGAGTGAGTCAAGACCCCCTTTTGTTTTTGCCAGAGTCCAGAAAGTGTGATTCAGTATAAAACCTAGCTTCTCTAGTTCTGACACTAACTGTAAAATCAACACTACTACTAAGAAAACATTATTTTGTACTAATATGGCATAAAAACCTAGACATATTTTTAGCGTTAAAATCAGAATAGACTAATTCTATATCAAGTGTTTTGCTGAAAATTGTTTAAATGTAAATGTAAAATGTTTAAATGTTAAAACATTTTAACTCCAAAGCACAGGTACAAAAATGATATTCTTCAATACCTACAGAACTAACGAGCATACTGTAAAATATCAACTAAAATTTATGTCAGTCCAATGAAAGAGCTTAAATGTGAAAAGTATTAGTTTTGAGTGGACTTAGAGAAAAGAGAGGGGTTTTGGAGGTGCCATGATGAGCAGGACCAGTCTGGCAGAGGAAGAACCTTTACAAGAGAGAAAGAGGAGAGGCCTCCCAAAACTGGTGGCAAGATGCGCATTCTGGATCCAGAGGAGACTGGAAGTAGCCCATTGTGAAGGACCGGCCCAAGAGCAGCTTCTTTGGAAGGCAGTAGCCAGGGATGTCTTTTTAGTCCTAAACTCACCCTTCTCAACCATGATCTGGATGTAGCCACCCAGACAGGCTGGGAGCACGGGGCCCAGAAAGCTCACGCTACTCTGTACATGGGAAGCTCGCTTCACATACTTGGGGGAGCATCAATCCTTTCTCCAAGGCCCAGACCTTTTCCCAGTGGGAGGAGTTCTGAAGGGTACACCGTGTAGCAGGGTAACTGTCTGACGGCAGGTTTGCTGCTGAGACAGTAGAGGTTTGGGGACACAGGCAGAGACAGGCTGGGGTGTCCAGCTCAGCCCCTGATCACAGCATCAGCCTCCTGCATCCACTGCCCACAGTGGCCCGAAAGCCACAGCAGATGGCTGAGACTACCCCAGGCCCGGCTGTGCCACACATCCACTCTGGGCCTCAGTCCTTATCTGTGAAATGTCAGGGATGGGCCAGATCAGGGATCCTCAAAACAAGCTGGTCACACAAGTCCCCAGAACAGCTTTGTGACAACACCCATTCCTAGGCCTACCCAGAGCCACTGACTCAGTGTTTCTGTGGGGCAGGACCTGGGGACAGGTATAGAGATTTTTTTGATAACGTAATACATATTAACTTTAGAAAAGACAGTGAAGAACAAAGAAGAAAATATTTTGAATGCAGGCACCTGTATTTTTTTGTTTGTTTGTTTTGAGATGGAGTCTCACTGTCACCCAGGCTGGAGTGTAGTGGTGCGATCTTAGCTCACTGCAGCCTCCACCTCCCAGGTTCAAGTGATTCTCCTGCTTCAGCCTCTGGAATAACTGGAATTACAGGCACACGCCACCATGCCTGGCTTTCTTTTTTTTTGTATTTTTAGTAGAGATAGGGTTTTGATACGTTGGCCAGGCTGGTCTCGAACTCCTGGCCTCCAATGATCTGCCTGCCTCAGCCTCCTAAAATGCTGGGATTATAGGCATGAGCCACCATGGCTGGCCAAGACCTGTATTTTTAAAAAGCTCATCGGGGCTGGGTACGGTGGCTCATGCCTGTAATCCCAGCACTTTGGGAGGCCAAGGCAGACAGATTGCTTGAGGTCAGGAGTTTAAGACACCAGCCTGGCCAACATGGCAAAAATCCATCTCTACTAAAAAATACAAAAATTAGCCAGGCGGGGCCCACCCAGCTGTGATCTCCAACACTCTCATTCTCTTTCAAAGAAAAGGTGAGGAGGGACCATTTACTCCATTCCTGTCTGTTTGCACAGAGCTGCTAACAGATGCTACATTCCAGGTGCCCCCAGCATCTGAGCCTTCCCCCTCCACACATGGGTTTGTCCTTGGCCCATGCATCTTTCCATCCTTATGTCCCACAGTCCAGCCAATGAGGTCACCTTGGCTGCCCATGACATACTCTCCTGCCTCCCCAGGCCCTCGTCTGCTCCATGTCCTGAGATCCTGCACAATCTTCAGGACTCACTTCAAATGCCAATTCTTCCCCGAAGCTTTCCTCCACCCACCCATGCCTGTTTTGAAGCCATTCAGCAAACTGTTGCTATCCACGGCTTTCCAACATCTCTGGTCCCTGGTATACAGCGGTTGCTGAATATGTACCTGTGGAATAAACAAATGAATGAAGCCCTCTTGGAAAAGGCCAAGTTTTAAGCACAGTGGGCCAAAAACCCAGAGCCCAGGCTGACAGCCCTGAGAGGGCATGGGCCCCCCAGCACCTTACTTGTTATACAGCACAATGTCTGGCTTCCAGATCTTCTGTGCAGGGACACGCATGAACTCTGTCCCACCATAGTCAGAGGGGTTCCACTTCAGCTTGTAGTCATTCCAGATCTCGGGGAAGGAAGCAGGGAGGGAGAAGGAGACAGTAAAAGAATCAGCCTGGTTTTACTTCTCTTGGCACCACCCATCTTGGTGAGTCCTCACCCGTGCTGCATGTGACGGAGCCACATCCATGCCATGATCATATAGTCCAACTTCTCCTGTGGGTGCAGTGGGGAGACAGCACAGGGCTGGATCTGCAGGCCGCCTCCTGGCACTAGGGAAGCCACTGCCCACATAACCGTGAGCAAGCCCAGCCCCTCATTAACCAAACAGGGTCTACTGGTGCTTTCTCTGGTCACTTCTAGTGCCAGGCGGAGCCTCCTGGACTTCTTGCACCATGTCCAGGTCCATGTGCCTGCTGTTTACAGCCCCTGAATGGTTCTCCAGGGGTGTTTTCCAATACAGACTCTCTTTCACCCCAAGGTTAAGCAAGGCTGGCCTCTGAAAGGTTCTGGGGGAAGAAGCCATGATCCCCGCAGGGCCCAGGAAGTGTCTGGGAGGTCTGAGTCCTGAGCACCAGAGGAGAGAGGGGTGAGGCTGTGGCCACAGAGGGAATATGTGCATCAAGTACTGGGTGGGGCACTGTGCCCATCTGGCTTTCCAGCCTCCTGGGGATGAAGGCTGTGTGTGCTGAGTGCTCAGCTGGCAAGGCTGGCAGAAGGGTCACCAGCAGGCCAATGGGCCATTACGTCTCCTGGCAAGTCTTGACAAAGCCTCCCTGGGGAGGACATGTGGAAGCCAATTTCTTGGCCTCAATGTGAACAGAAAAATCTACTCCCACGCTACCAACAACAGCAGCATCTGATTCTGACTTAAGAACGAGTTTCTGGGCTAGGTGCAGTGGCTCATGCCTGTAACCCCAGCACTTTGGGAGGCCGAGGTGGGTGGATTGCTTGAGCTCAGACATTCGAGACCAGTCTGGGCAACATGGTGAAACCCTGTCTCTATAAAAAATACAAAAATTAGCCGGACGTGGTGGTGCATGCCTGTGGACCCAGCTACTTGGGAGGCTGAGGCAGGAGAATTGCTTGAACCCTGCTGGTGGAGATTGCAGTGAGCTGAGATGGCACCACAGCACTCCAGCCTGGGTGACACAGCGAGATCCTGTCTGGAAAAAAAAATTGAGTTTTTAGCAAGGAGAGAAGGAGGTGTCTCAGGCACCACCCTACGGTTTGGGGGCAGGGATTCAATCTCAGGTTCATACTGTTCTGTTGTTTGAACATGGAGAATGTCTTTCACCAGGCTGCAACCTGTCCAACTGGGACTTGAGGGGTTGGGCCCTACAGTCCTTCCAGGAGGACTGTTGGCCAGTGCACGTGACCTCAAGCCTTAGAAGAGATAGATCTGCCAGTCAGTCCAATCTGGGTTCTACAGAAGTAAATGAAGTCTGGTCGTTGGGCCCTTCTTGGTTCACCTGAAGCAAATAAAGCAGTCACCACCAGGGAGCAGCAGTGCCTAGGGTCTGGTCACTTACTTGCTTGAGCCACAGGTTGGTCTCCATGATCTGGTTTACTTCATCCTAGAAAGAGGGATTAAAGTAGACAGGAGAATTACATAAACAAGGCTCACTCTGGGAAAGGCTCCTTCAGAAGCTCCGGTCCCCATAGCCACGGCTCGTGGCTCCAGCACTTACCACCTTCACCAGCTGAGACATGGACACCTCGAAATGGATGATGACTGGGTCGGACACGTTGGCCACAGGCCGGATGATCTCATTGTAATCTTCAAACAGCCGCTCAAATAGACGGTGCTCGGCCTCTGAGGCCCTGGCCACTGGGGGAAGCAGCCCTGTCAGTCCCGGGGAAATCATTACTTAACCTCCCCCACCCAGCCCACCAGAAACATCACCCATCTACAGCGTCCCCTCCACCTGTGGAGGGATTCTGTGGAACCCCAGACTTTCAGGCTAGTCTTATCCAGTGGGTTACAGAATGGGAAACTGAGGCCCAAGAGGGGCAGGATTCTACCAGGCCACACACATTCAGTGAGAAGCACAGTGGTTGCAAGCCTGGGTTCTGGAGTTGGACAGATCTGGTGCAAATCCTGACAAATCACTTGTGAGCTGTGTGAGCTTAGGCAAGTGGCTTAACCTCTCTGAACCTCAGTGTCTTTACCAGTCAAAATAAGGATTATAAACGTATCCACCTCAAAGGGTTGTTGTGAAGGAAGTGCACAGCTTGGTGCTGTGCTAAGAGCTCAAGAACTATTTGCAATCCTTTCCTGGGTTGTTACCGCAAGGCAGGGGTGTGGTGCAAATGCTGTTTGCCTAGATACAGCCACTTGCTGCTTCCACTATGGAAAGATGGCCAGTCCACCCCCAGGGGCAGGGACACCCACGGTCACCCAGGCCCAGGTCTTCTGCCTCCCAGCCTCTGGGAGAACGCAACCCAGGTCTGGGCCTCTCCTGCATTCCACCCTGTAGGGGTTTGGCCACCAACCCTCTTAGAAGCCAAGGCACTATGTGGCTCCCGTGATCTCGTGTGACCCCCAGCTCTTGTTGATGCTGCCTTCACATCCTGATCAAAGACTCTAACATCTCTGCAACCCTTCGGCACCCCTCTTTGTTCCTAAGCCACACCCCAGTACAGGTGAGGCATACAGGGGTCAGCTGTCTTCTGATTCCCACGTACAGATCCGGGGGCAGCTTGGGGAGGCGGGAGGGGAATCCTCCGGGAAGTTGAATCCAACTTCGTCAGGTCTTGAAATGGGATTTTTCCTGCTCCCCCCTCCCCTTCCCCAGAATGAAAGGAGGGTCCCAGGCAGGAGGTCGGTTGAGAGTGTATGGCCGTTCTGAATAGTAGAGGCCTTGGCACCGAGGGCAGAAAGCGCTCTGAGCGCACAATCGCACTACAGACCGCCCGCCCGGGCCCGCCGGAAATTCCCTGCAGCCCTGCCGGGTCCCGGACCCTCGCTATCCACCAGCCCTCCCAGGCACCCAAGAGCCTCCCAGCGGCTGGCCAGGGCCGGCTTCCCTCAGCAGGCTCCTCTGGAGAGCGGGAGGAAGACGGGAGGCACTCTCCCGGTGGAAGGTCCCACAGCGACACGGCCAGGAGCCCTGGGGGCTAGGACCGGAGGAGAGGCTGGCGCGCCGGCTCCAGCCCCAGTCCCGAAGCGACTCTCCTTTCCCCCAGGTGGCCTTGGCCGAGTCTTTAGCCACCTCTGGATACAGTTTCCCTATCTATCCGTCAAATGAGGAGGTGGGCGGGGTGCAGACGGTGGAGCGGGTGGCTTGGGCGTGCCAGTTTTGGAGCCAGTGCGCGGGGCAGGGCGACGGGCAGCGCTGGGACGCGAATCCCCAACTCCTGCGCCCAAGACGAAGGACCCAGTCTGGACCTCCCCATTACCCCGCGCCTACCAGCGCCCGCTCGGTGACTCCCAGGTTTGGTGGTGGCTAGGGGTAGGGGGCGAGCCGAAAGGGAAAAAGCCACCCCACCCAAGTCGCCGCCGGGCTGGAGCGAGTTTGCGCGGGTTCCGAGTTCCCGGCTACGGCGCCAGCCTTCTCCGCTCGCCCGCGCGGTGCTCTCACCGGCAGCCCCTCCGGATCCCGCGCCTCCTCTCGGGCGCTCGTTCCTCCGGAGCCCTAACGCCCGTGAGCGTACCTGGCAGCAGAGACAGCAGCAGCAGCAGCCGCAGCCGCAGCCGCGGCCGCGACAGCGGGCGAGAGCCCATGTCTAGTGGCCGGGCTGGCCGCGGACCCGGACGGTCGGGAGAGGGCGCGGCGGGCGCAGCGACGGCCTCTGCCCGCGCGGCTCCAGAGCAGACCCCAGACCCGGAGCCCTACGGGCGGAGACGCTGGGGGCTCCTCTCTGCTTCGCAGCCGCCGCGTTTCCGGCGCCCTCGGACCTGCGGGAGGACAGGAGTGCAGCTGCGCCAGGCGAGGGCGTGCGTGGGGCGGGGCTGGGCGTACGTGCGGTAGGGGAAGGGGCTCCGCGTCGGAGTCCCCAGCGCTGGGCGGGCTCCTTCTGCACCGGGCTGGGCGCTCCGGACGGCAGCACACAACAGATCCGAACAGGTGCTGTCACCATCGCCAGGAAGGAGAGGGACCCAATCTCTGTCCCTGGCTTCCGGAGCGTGTGTAGCTCCCGCAGGGGGTTGGGGCCACCGGGCTAGGTGGGCGCTGTAGGAGAGGCGCCAACACACTCAGAAAGGGGCTTCATGTATTTAATGCTATTAAGTAATTGTTAAGTGTTTTAGATATAACACTGGTATTTTTTTTTTAAGTCTTTATAGTTTAGGGGTGGGTAGGAATTAGTTAAAACAATATTGGCCATGAGTTGATAATTGTCTAGGCAGGGTGATGGTACCTGGAGGTTATACTGCTCTTAACTTTAGATTATGTTTGGCTTGTTCCTTAATGAAAATTTGTTGGGGTGATCGGACCCAACACCAGGCCGTGGGGGCAACGAAGTCCAGCGGAGTCAAAGGAATGAGAAAAGGCAAGAGAGAAAGTGGGACCAGGGGGCCAACCCTAGTATGGAGGCTGGGAAGGCTCTGAGCGCAGGGAGCCCATGCTATTTATTGATGATCAAAGAAACAGGTGGTGAGGATGTGGGAGTTGAAAGGAAGTGATATATGAAGCGAATGAACTACAACTGTGATGGTTTGGCATTTTTCTTTGAAACATATGGCTACTTAAGATAATGGGAGTGCTAGAAGCAAGGAGCTGGCAAGTCTAGACACGTTTCAAAGGCCATGAGGGGTTTTACCCTGGACCCAGGACATGTTCCAAGCCCTGCCTCAGCTTCTCTCCCAACACAGCTTTTCTCCCAACAAAACTAAAGAAAGATAAGACAGAATTTAAAATGAGGCTTCATTTGTTCTTTTTCTTCTTCTTCTTCTGAGACAAGGTCTCACCCTGTCACCAAGGCTGCAGTGCGGTGGCTCCATCTCAGCTCATTGTAGTCCCCACATCCCCGACTCAAGCGACCCTCCCACCTCAACCTCTGAAGCAGCTGGGACCACAGGCAGGCACCACCGCGTCTGGTTAATTTTTTATTTTTGTGGAGAGGGTCTTCTTCCTGTGGTTGCCCAGACTGGTCTGGAACTCCCGGGCTCAGCGCTTCTCCTGCCTTGGCCTCCCAAAGTGCTGGGATTACAGGCATGAGCCACTGTGTCTGGCCTCATTTGCTCTTCTGATGGAGCAATCTGAGAGGGCATTGGGGTTCCCGCCCTAGTCCCCCACAGAACCCCTCTGTCCCCTTCCCCACCACCATCTGCAACCCTAAGAATGTGCACTGATTGGCTAGGCAGTGTGCCCTGGAGCCTCCTGCCCTCTCTGACCACCCACCAGGGATGGGGGTGGCGCCTTGATGTTGGCTTCTTTGACATCCCTTTATCGCAGGAGGAAGTTCTGTCATAAACTCTCCTCCTGGCGTTCAGATGGTGAATTGCCTTTATTGTTTCCAGAATGTGCTGCTTACCCATATTAAAACCAAACAAAAGGAGACAGTTTGTGGAATGGAAGATGTTTGTAAGAATTGGGACCCACCTCTCAGGCCCCCAATGATAGCATTCTCATCTCTTGGCAAATATCCCCCATTGGGACAATACTGTAAGTCATATATCCAACAAAGGTCTTGTATCCAGAATGTATAAGGAACTCTCAAAACTCAACGGTAAGTATAGATGCATATGAAGGATCTTATTGGGTGATGAAGATGTTCTAAAACTGGATTCTGGTGATAAATGTATGAAAATTCATTGAATTGTACACTTAAAATGGGTGGATTTTATGGTATGTAAATTATACCTCAATAAAGTTTTCTAAAAATAAGTCTCAATGGTAAGGAAACGAACAATTAATTTTTTAAATGAGCAAGAGGTAAACAGACTCTTTACCAAAGAGGTATACAGAAGACAAAAAAAAAAAAAAAAAGCACATGGAAGATGTTCAAATCACTAGCTATCAGGGACATGCAAATTAAAACCAGGGTGGAATCCAGTTGCTGAAAAACTGGATCTCTCATACTTTGGTGGGATTGCAAAATTGTACAGCCACTCCAGAAAACAGTTTGACAGTTTCTTTCTCTTTTTTTCATTCATGTTATTATTATTATTATTATTTTATTTATTTATTTTTTTTTTGGCAGAGTCTCGCTCTGTCACCCAGGCTGGAGTACAGTGGCACAATCTTGACTCACTGCAGCCTCTGCCTCCCAGGTTCAAGCGATTCTCCTGCCTCAGCCTCCCGAGGAGCTGGGATTACAGACACACACCACCATGCCTGGCTGATTTTTGTATTTTTAGTAGAGACGGGGTTTTACCATGTTGGCCAACCTGGTCTTGAACTCCTGACCTTAGGTGATTCGCCGCCTCAGCCTCCCAAAGTGTTGGGATTACAGGCGTGAGCCACCATGCCTGGCCTCAACAGTTTCATATAAAGTTAAATATACACTTACCATATAACCTAGCAATCACCCTCCTGAGTGTTTAAATAAATGAAAACTTTTATTCATACACAATCCTATATGTGAATCTTTATATCAGTTGTATTCATAATTGCCAAAAACTGGAAACAGCCTAAACATGCGTCAACATCATACAACTGAACATTCCTCAGCAGTACAAAAAACCCCAGCTTGATTGAATCTTGAAGGCACTATGCTGAATGAAAGAAGCCGGTCTCCAAAGGTCACTACTGTATGATTCCATTTAAATGGCATTCTTGAAAAGACCCAACTGTAGTGATGGAGAAAAGATATGTGGTTGCCAGGGGCTAGGAGTGCAGGGAGTCAGGAGTCTAAAGGAATAGCAGCAGGGAGTTGTTTTGGATGACAGATCTTTCCTGTGTCCTGATTGTGATGGTGGTTATCTGTACACGTGTTACAATTCCTAGAACTATATATTTAAACGTCAATTTTATTGTATAGTAATTTTTAAAATAGAATTTTTTAGAACGCCCTCCTCCATTCCACCAATATTTTGAATGCCTACTACATGCCAGGCACTGTGCAAAAGGTAATATGTGTGAGGAGTGAATCAGAGCATCGGTGTGGGAGACAAACCTGAACCCAGCCATGATAGAGAACTGCAAAATGACCAGCGCCGTAGAGTCATGGAGGAGCAAGCCATGCCTTTCAGATGGGGAAACTCGGGATGGCTGCTCAGAGGAGGGGCATTTGGATCTGAAGGAGGGGTAGGAGCCATTCATTCATTCAGCAAACATTTATTGAGCACCTACTGTGTGCCAGGCTCGTCCTAGGCCCTGGGGATACCACCATGAATGTGAAGGAGCAGGTCCCTGTTCTCATGGAGCTCACACTCCAGTGGGTGAGTTGTGGATGACATATATGCCACCAGATAAAAGTGGCAGGTACCAAGGAGTGCTTGAGGAAGGAGGCAGGGTAATGTGATCATAGGGAGGCTGCTTTAGAATGATTGGGTGGTTAGGGAAGGCCTCTCAGAGGAGGTGACATTGAAGCAAAAAATAGATTGGAGCCATGCCCTGACTGATGTGGCTGTGGAAAGAGCTTGGGAAGCCTGGGGGAAGAGGAAGAAGGTTCAAGTAGAAGATAGGGAAGGCCAGGCATAGTGGCTCACACTTGTAATCCTAGCACTTTGGGAGGCCGAGGCAGGTGGATCATTTGAGGTCAGGAGTTCGAAACCAGCCTGGCCAACAAAAATACAAAAATTATCTGGGCGTGGTGGTAGCTCCCTGTAATCCCAGCTACTTGGGAGGCTAAGGCAGGAGAATCACTTGAACCTGGGAGGTGGAGGTTGCAGTGAGCCGAGATCGCGCCATTGCACTCCAGCCTGGGCGATAGAGCACGACTCCATTAAAAAAAAAAGAAAAAAAAAAAAGATGATATGGCAAATGCCAGGCCTCTGAGCTGGGAAGAAACTAGAAGTGTGTGAGGGACTGTACAAGGGGAAGTGGAGAGAGATGGCGATGGAGAGGCAGGCCGGCACCATGGCTGGCGCATAGTAGGTGCTGCTATGATATCATCTTTATCCCCATTGCCCGGTGCAGGGAAGGAAGACAGGCCAGAATTGAACTGTCTGAAGCTCCCTCCTGCTGGGGCTTCCTGGGATCCCTCCAAGGCATTCAGAGAGGACAGTCCAGGCCCCCATCCTTGCCTCTTCCATGGCTGTGGCTGGTTTGATGGGGTTGATGGCCAGTGGTCCAATTTATTTAGGGCCTCATCAGCCACAACCCAGAAGGAAGCAGCAAACTGCTCACCCGGCCACTCACATCCTGTCATCCCACAACCCAGGGGGCCCTCAGTCACGCTGGGCAGCGTAGGGCCCTTCCGAAGCTGTGTGGGTCTGGAAGAGGGGCGGTAGGAAGAGCCCAACAGTGCCCAGTACGCACACAAACACGAACACCCACAGGAACAGCCGGTCTACCACCATAGCCACGTACTTCCAGTCCTCAACGACCTGCAGGCAGAGAGAAGGTCTGGTCACAGGTGCCAAGTACTGGGGTCCCTCCTTTCCCCAAGTCAGGCCCTTACTATCTGGCCAGGGACTCCACAGGCCACAGGTGTGGAACTGCATACTAGTGGGGCAAGTTCTGAGTCCCAGACTGGCCTGTCAGCTGGGCAGCTCTGAGCCTCTCTGGCTGTTCTCCACCTCCACCCCTGCCTGTCCCCCACAGCACTTTAGGGCCACTGGGAACTTGGGCTATACAGAAAAGTTAGGAATGTGAGGACTTGTTAATACCACATACTGTGATTTGAAAACAAAATCTGGTTATAAATAGGAGATAGGGCCTGAGGATCTTGAAGCCCCATCTTCTCACTTTTACCCCAAACTCACTGCCTGAGCTGGTTCTAGCTAAAGAAAGAACTAGGTGGCTCTCACCTAGTTCAGTGGGAGCAGGGAAACGGGGGCTTACAGAACACCTGGAAATCCTACTGTTTAATTTGTTCAAGTCTGTTCACAGCAGTGTCTGTTCCCTGTAATTAAGACCCAGCCTCCTCCTGCTGCATCATCCAGGTCTCTGTGGTCTTCTTAGACCCTGCTGCAGGGTATAAGGTTGGCAGAGACCTGGCTGGCCTCCAGAGGGGCCACCACAGATGGGCCCTGTCTCCTTTGCACTGGGGGAGAGCCCAGAGAAACGCCCGTGTGCCCAGGATCCTGGCCTCCCTCCCCTATGCCTGCTTTCACACCCCTGGACTGGCTGGCTCACACTG